GACGTGAGCCCCAAGGGTCCGGGCAGCTGCCCGAGGCATCGGTCTTACACATAAAGCTCTCTGTGGGTTTCAGAGTCATCCACTGAATTTGGAAATCAGTCAGTTTTTCTGAAAATATATACAACGTTAAACCACAGGCCGAGTTTTCAATATGTTGTAAACATTCTCACAGCGAGAGCAAAAATAGCCCACTTTGATTCATTGCCTGCCTGTGCTTGCTCTTAAGAGTGGCCAAGAGGAGCAAAGAGGCTGGGAAAGAAAGATCCAGAAAGAGACAGAGACAAAGAGAGAGACAGGCGAGAAAAAGGGGGTGGGGGGAGGAAAAGAGGGAGAGAGAGGAAAAGGGAGGGAGGGGAGGAAGGAGAGAGAGAGAGAGAGAGAGACCTTAAAGTAAACAAGCAACCCCGAGTACCCTGGAATGTTCTGCTTGCTAAAAACTTCCGTGGAACAATTTGAGGGCAAAATTTACTTGGAGGATCTTCGGGTCAGAAAGATGCCTTGGTTTCATGAAGGTAACTAGCTCTGGCAGAGCTGCTGCCTGCCTGCCTAGTCCCACAGCCCTAGAACTTAACTGGGATTTTGGATTCATGCAAATATGAGCATCAGAGAGGAACAAAGTCACATCTTACAGCCAGAAAGAACTTCCAAGCAGGGTTCATCAGCACATACTTATAGTGAAGAAACGAGGGGGTTTTCCAGGGTTTCCCAATTTCCAACATTTCTTGCATCTGGATGCAAAATAATAACCAGGGTCCGTTTATAGATGGCAGAGAGAGGTAAAAAAAAATACAAGAATGATGCTATCATGTTTACAGTATGCACATATAAGAGAAAAAGACATTCAAAAGAAACAATGCTGATTCTCTTAATATTTTAATTTTTGAGCTTTCCTTTGATTTAGTTAATAGTATTTTTGATTTATTATTCTCTACTGGTTTTCATTACAAATTTATAGAGTTTAATAGTCATTTTTTTTTACAATAGCATTTTAACTAAGTTTTAAAAACTTTGATACTTGTTTAATTCCATTGCATTCTTCCTTATATTCCATACTCCTTTGAGTAGCTCACATCTTTTAAGGGATTTTGCTACTAGATTTCATAGACTCAATTTTAGAACTGAGTTCCCTGTTTCAACCCACCATATTTGCTCCATTTAATGATAATATATTAAACCAGGGATTACCTCGATCACCAAAAAAGCCCTGTTTTTCTGCCTCGGCCTATATTCATGGTCCAAATCCCAGGTTTACAGTTGGTTCATTGTTCAACCATAACAAGTTATACATTTTCTCTGTAATTCAGTTTCCTCATTTGCAAACTGGAGATATGATAATACCTACCACATAGGGTTGTTGTGGAGGTTAAATGAGTTGATATAAACACTTAGAATAATTCCTGGCACAGGGTACATACACAGAGATTGTAGTTGTTATTCCGAATCATTCACTCATTCATTCATAAATCCAAGTTTGCATGATTGACTATTCTATCCTACATTGCTTTGGCTATAGAGCCTTTGCAATTATAGTTCCCTTTGCCTGAATGTTTTTCTCCTCTTTATAAACTAAACTATAGCCTTCAGATCTTAACTCAAATGTCATTTTCTATTCAAGCTTCCCGTGAGTCCCCAGAATAGATCAGATTCTCAGTGTCCTGAGTTCCTTTCATTCATCACGTTTATCAGTAATTATGCATTTGGCTTTTATTATTTGGGAACTGTGTGCCCCTCACTCGACCATATACATACTCTGTAAGAGCAAATACCGTTCAGCTTCTTGTTCACCATTACATCATTAGTGATTAGCAGAGAGTAACTGTTCAGTAAATAACTGGTGCCTGGACCCATGGGTAAATGTACCAGCACTGTACTGAGAATTAGTCAGTAAAAGATCAGAAGTCCCTGCCCTTAAGGTGCTCATGGTCAACCAGAGGTTGGAGTCCAGTCTGGAATCAGTTTCAGTTGCCCAGGCGAATAATAACGAAAGCCTGACTTAAGGCAGTGACAGTGTGTTGACCCACCAGGCTCAATGGCCTCATGACCTGCCCTGGTAACCTCCAGGGCACTTGAGGGCATGACCCACTTGAGGTCAGGCAGTGAGAATCTGGTTAGTAAAGCAGGATAATGGGCCTGTGCTCCTTCAGAAGATGGCACTTGGGGACCCTCCATGCATACTTACTCTCTGGCTTAAGGTTAGCAGGAAACTCTAAGAAACTTCTTTCTAATTTTTTTCCTGGATAACTTATGTAGACTGTTACTGACAGTACCTCTGAGGCAAAACTTCCTCTCTTCCTGCAAAATAATTTCACATTTAGTAGTGGAGTCAGTGGTATTTGTGAATCTCAGAGGTCTACTCTTTTTGGGGTTTGGCCTAGGTCCACTGTTCTATGCATATCATTTGGATCTTCAAAAACCTTGCTTGGTGTTTCACTACCGGGTATGCTCAGTCTGTCCAAGTAGCATGGAGGGAAATGGAGAACAGAGGACTGTGTCTCAAAATTCAAATCCAGCTGAGCTTATATCTTTATTTCTATTTCCTTTTTAAACTTACAAGAAGACAGCTTTACAGGGATGAACATCAACAGCATGCAATTGTTAAGTACTTACTATCTTAGCAAGTAGGTCATGGCATGTAGGCCTTTAGGTTATAGGTCTTTAATATCTCCATCAGTAGCTGGTTCTGTGACTTTGGGTTGATTGCTTAATAAACTGTGCCCTAGTTTTCTTTCTGTACTATGGGGATAATTATAATACTTGCATCATAGTTTCTGTGAAGTTCAAGTGTGATAATGCATAGGAAGTGCTTTGATAATGGACGTACGGAATAAGTGCGTAATACCAGTAATGGTATGAATGAGGATGATGCTGATGCTGATAATATGCTCCTCAGTTGTGGAGTCCATCATGATCGTAATCCAGGAATTTGCATGAAAACTGTCCTGGACTGACTATGCATCTACGTGAGTGCTAGAGGCAAACTCAAATCATCTCCATAGGAAAGCATGTTCAACTTAAGTCATGTAGAATCCCCACAAATACTTTTAAGGACAAGGACCAATACACAGCTAAACATGCTCAACGGCATAAGGAAGCAAGGCACCAAGAGTGAGAGCCAGCAGAAACCACAGAGAGCAAAGGCTAAATTATAAAGACTTCAGCTATTGGACTCACCCATAAAAGATTATAAAATAATGAGTTTAAAATGATTGCATATACGTAAGGCAAGCTTGCGAATATTTGCAAGCACTAGGAGACTCTAACAATGGTTGACATAAATTCTGGGTGTCATTGTAGCTGAGCCTTTTCTTTACCTGTTCCCTTCACCTTAGATCTCTAACCAGCCAAGTCTGTCAATTTCCCATTTCAGGTCTGGGCCTTGACTGGAGCCCTAATCCCATGGGTAGAGCCCTAAAACATGCTCTTTGTGATTTCCCTTCTCTTGAGAATGGGGTTGATTCCACTTCCTATACTTTCTTGGCAGAGCTGGAAATCTTTTCAGGAATGGACAGATGTTCTGAGACCTTGCCTCGTTGTAGGTAGTAGCAAATCTCACTCCCTGTCGTCTACTTTGGTTCCCACTTCACAGAAAACAGGCCTCAAAGCAGCTAAAACAATAAGGAAATCTATTATTTCACGTAACAGGAAATCAAAAGGTAGGCTGGGCTTTAGGGTTGGTGAATTTAGCAGTTCAGTAATGGACCCAGATTCTTTCTTTCTGCCCTACCATCCACATGATTGGCTTCATTCTACACATGGTTTCACTCATCAGCTCAAAATGGCTGCCAGGAACAATCGGGAGCTTGCGGGGCTCTATTCCAGCCCAGAGAGAGAAAGAGAGAGAGGGGGAGTGGGGGGGGAGGGAGAGAGAGAGAGAGAGAGAGAGAGAGAGACAGACAGACAGACAGACAGACAAAAGGAGAGGAGAAGAGAGAGGAAGACAGAGAGAGAGAAGAGAGGGAGACAGAGAGAGAGACAGAGAGAGAGAGACAGACAGACAAGAGGAGAGGAGAGGAGAGGAGAAGAGAGGGAGACAGAGAGAGAGATAGACAGACAGAGAGAGAGACAGGGAGAGAGAGACAGACAGACAAGAGGAGAGGAGAGGAGAAGAGAGAGGGAGACAGAGAGAGAGAGAAGAGAGAGGGAGGGAGACAGGGAGAGAGAGAGAGACAAGAGGAGAGGAGAGGGAGGGAGACAGGGAGAGAGAGAGAGACAAGAGGAGAGGAGAAGAGAGAGGGAGACAGAGAAAGAGAGAGGGAGGGAGAGAGGGAGGGAGGGAGAGAGAGAGGAGAAAGAGAGGGAGGGAGGGGAGGGAGGGGAGGGAGGGGGGAGAGAGGGAGGGGGGAGAGAGAGAGAGAGAGAGAGAGAGAGAGAGAGAGAGAGAGACAGACAGACAGACAGACACTCCATTCTCCCCAGAACCACTGGATAAAAGTCTTTCCTTTGTTCTATTTTGGGCCAACATAAGTCATGTGACCACTCTGGTCTTAAAATATCTACTGATTGGCTTGAATCTAAATTCCCGAACCGCTCCCTGGCAAGAAAGAATTGATTTATGTAAATGGCTTAGACCAGTGAATGGTTCATGGTTCACCAAGGGGCTGAAACTAGCACCGCGAGCAAGTGTAAGGAGCAGTTATTATTACCACAATGGTTTGCGAAAACAAGAGGAAGAGAAGCTAAGTATCTCGTAAAGTAGAAAGAAAGCATAAAAGAGGACTGCTACATAGTCTCACACAGTAACAGATTGTTCTCTTATCTGCAGGACATTCTTTCTCAATAACAACTTTATTGAGATATAACTTACATACCACAGAGCTCACCTATTTAAAGGGTGCATTTCAATGTTTTCTTAGGTTATTCGAAGAGTTGTGCAACTATCGCTACAATCGATTTTAGAACATTTTCATCAATGCTTCTCTCCCCCTAAAAAAACCCAAACCCATAGCAATCACTCAACCTTCTACGTTTAGCCTTAGGCAACCACTAATCTATTTTCTGTCTCTATAGATTTGCCTATTGTGGATGTTTGATATACGGTCGTTCATCTCTTGAGGACGTCGATACCTTCTAAGAAATGCATTGTTAGGTAATTGTGTTCTATAAACATCATAGAATGTGCCTCTGCAAACCTAGATGGTACATGCCTACTACATACCTAGGCTTTATGGTGTAGACTGTTGCTCCTAGACTACAAACCTGCACAGCATGTGACTGTACTGAATACCGTAGGCATCTGTAACACAACGGTAAGTATTTGTGTACCTAAATATTTCTAAACATGGAAAAGGTACCATAAAAATATGGTATTATAATATAATCTTATGGGACCACTGTCATACATGTGGTCTGTCATTGACCGGAATGTTTTTCATGCAGTGCATTACTGTAAATAGAATCAAACAACATGTGGCATTTGTAGACTGACTTTTTTCACTTAGCATGTTTTCAAGCTTCATTTATGTTCTTGTATGCATCATTACTTCATTCCTTTTCAGCAAGAATAATATCACATTGTTTGGAGATATCACATTTTATTTATCCATTCATCAGTTGATAGATACTTGGGTGGTTTCAGCTTTTTGATTCTTTTGGGCATTCACATACAAATTTTGCATGGACATATGCTTGCATTTCTCTTGGGTATATATATATATATATATATACATCTAGGAATGGACTGCTGGTTCACATGGTAACTCAATGTTTAAATTCTGGGGGAACTGCCAGACTGTTTTCCAAAGCAGCTGCACCATTTTATAGTCTTACCTGATCTGCAGGTGGGGATATCTCTGTTTATAATTACGTGAGTGCATTCTATGACCCTGATTTATGTATAAACATAAAGCATTGTTTTGCAAGCTAGTGTTGCACGCTGAATTTTCCAAGAATGCAGCCAAACTGAGTGGAAGACTATATTATGTTTTATTTGGAACTTCACCAGGAGTTGTTCTCACCATTTCAGAAAACTCCTATCACTAACAACTACGCTATTAGTTATATTTGAGCTACCAACGCAACACACCTTATATCAGTCTACACCAGTGGTTCTCAACCAGAAGTGATCTTTCTCCTAGAGGTCACTTGCAATGTCTGGAGACATTTTTGGTTGTGGGTGTGTGAATGTGTTTGCTACTAGTATATAGTAGGTAGAGTCCAGGGATGCTGTTAATCTTCCTACAGTGCACCAGACAGCACCCTAAGACAAAGAATTATCTGGCCCAGAATATCAATAGTGCTGGGGTTGAGAAACCCTGGTTATCTATTTATAGTTAAAAATTCTACTTCTTAAAGGGACCGCCTTCCCGCTATCCCAATGTTCATTATGTGCTTTAATATAATGAACCTGGGCAATTGTACCTGGGCAATTTCTGGCTGGGATGCATATAATTTTATTATAGGAAACTTTTATTTATCCTTTCTATTATAGTCAGGGAATTATGTTGATTTTATTAAAATATAGAGATTATCCTATGTGTGAATTTCATTTCAGGATAATACAGAGGATTCTACAAATTATTTAAACATGCTAGAATGGGAGCCAGTGGTTTGGACCCCTCAGGTTCAAGGTTAGGAGATGGGCTGGGAGTAGCTTCCTCTGAGAGCATTGAGTCCTCCCGGGGAGGGATGCACAGCTGAGCGGAACCAGGGGTCTGTGAAGGAGGAGGAAGAGGAGAATGCCGGGCAGAGAGTCAACAGCATCTATTGTAATTCCTGGTGTTTGCCAAGCTCCTGATTTTAACTCCCTGGGAAGCCTGACTCTATTTCCTCTACTCTGTTACTTTATCATCCTCTTTCTTTTCTGGTTCAACTCATTGCAGTAGACGCTGTTATTTGCAACCAAGAAGATCCAGAAGTAAAACAAAGGTAGGTGGGAAAACAACATAAGTGGGGGAAATAGAGTATGATGTTCTCATCAGCTTAAAGGAGGACTGTTGCAGATACAATTTAAACCTGTCTTGTCCCTTAGCTCTTGGCAGATGTTGTTGAGAGATTGATGCATTTAAGAAATGACAATAGATGGAGGCAACTCAGCCTTCACGCTGAGAGGGGCGCAGAGCCTGCAATGTGGGCAGCAGAGATGCCACAACAAAAGAGCAAGAACTGAAAACATTTCCTGCCTCCGGGAAGCCTGAGCTAGGAAACTCTGCTCGGCAACCAGGCAGCACATTTTATTCACGCTGGTCTGTGAAGAAGGAGGCAGTTCTATGGCTGACTAGTTCATCTTTTCTTTTCTTTTTTTTGTTTTGAGACAGAGTCTTGCTTTGTTGCCCAGGCTTCGAGTGAGTTGCCGTGGCGTCAGCCTAGCTCCACAGCAACCCTCCAAACTCCTGGCGCTCAAGTGATTCCTCCCTGCCTCAGCCTCCACAAGTAGCCTGGACAAGCATGCGCCACCACCGCCCGGCTAATTTTTTCTATATGTATTAGTTGGCCAATTAATTTCTATTTATCAGTAGAGTCGGGCGGTCTTGCTTCTTGCCTGCCTCAGGCTGGTCTTTGGAATCCTGGACCTCAGAGCAATCTGCCCGCCTCAGCCTCCCAGAGTGTTAGGATTACAGGCGTGAGCCCACCATGCCAGGCCTAGTTCATCTTTTCTTTGCAGAGTTTCAAACTCCAGTGTGCATAAGAATCTCAGTGTGTACATGCATGCCTGCGTGGGCATGGTTGGGTTGCAATCAGATTTCTAGGTTCTACCCTAAAGGATGACAGTCTTAGAATGGCTGATGGGTGCCTGGGAATCTGCATTTTAAACAAGATGCTTTTTTCCGCTCTCCTTAACCCCTATTTCCCCCCTCTGTGATTTTGATTCAAGCTTGGAGAATTATGCTTTAGATATATAAAGATGCTGCCTTTTTTTTTCCTTTTCCTGATGGAAGCAAGAGCTGGGAAAGAAAAGGCTGCTGAAGTTTCTCCTGCTGTTTTTGCTGTTGCCAGCTCGGCTTTCTGACTGCTCAGAGGGCCAGAGAAGTTGGCTTTTCTGGGGCTGGTTGACATTCCCTCCACAGTGGAATTTCCTCTGCTGCAGGACCTGCGGCCTGCGTCATGCTGTGCACAGATTTTTGTTGCTACTCAGTTAGGATTTCCTTGCTCAATCGAGCAACGGTTAGGCAAGGGGCCCACAGGCCCCGATAGCTCACCCATTGCAATGTGCACAGCCTGCGGGCTTTTGCAACACGGAGGAAAGAAATTGCCTATTGTCACCCCTTCAAGGGTGCTGGACCACACCGATCACGTGGGCTACCCGACAAAATGTGCTACTTGTGCCCACTCTTAGTGATGCATGAATTTATATGTGTCTGTAACCCCCGATGGGTTGAGGTTTCTGCGTTTCCAGTAGCCTTTGATGTGGAGAAGAAAATATATTTCTAGAAGAAATCCCTGCAGGAGAGAAGGCCTGGGTGCTCTCCCCCATGCCCGGAGGCGTTCTGAACCAGATAGAAAGCAGGTCCTGATGGCATGAAAAGTTGAAGTGCTGTGGCAACAATCCTTTCAGCTGGGTTTTGGGGGGTGGGCGTGGAGAGATGACTCATAGTCCTGAAAGAGAATCAAAGAGAGACTGGAAAGAAGAAACGTGTCTGGTAGCATATGGCTTTGCCTTTTTCTTTCTTGGGATGGGGGACCCTCAAGGAGGAGGAGTAGAGAATGTATAGTAGGGTTAGGGGGGACTAGACAGAGAGGTGCCACCTGCCCAGGCCAGAGGTGGCCTCAGAAAGAACTGTAGGCCATCTTGGTGACAGAAATGGTACCAGCTGTTCCCGGATAGCAAATGCCAGCCACTCGTGGCACTACTCTCCTTACCCTTGCCTGTGACAGACATCACCAATGGATCACAGCGGTCCTTTTCACTCTAGGCAGCCAGTATCAATCGATCAGAGTCAGCACTCAAGGTGAGATAGACAAATGTACTTAAGTATTCCGCCAGGGAAACTCTGAGAGAATGTCTCAGACCAGATGAGACGTAGGAACAAGACAAATGTCACAGAATGGATCCAAAGCCTGAGAGTCCTGGGAGATTCTCGGATTCCTTTCTAAGGACTGTGGGAAACCCAGGATAATTCATATCAATGATAATAAAAGCAACTATTTTTTGATCAAACATTTTCAACATGCAGGGACTGAGCTGTTTTGGTGTCATTTAATCCTCATAAAAGTGCTGCGAAGGGCTGGCAGTCTCATTTTGTAAATGAAGAAATGGTGGCTCAGAGAGGTTAGGTGGCTTTCTCAAAGTCACACAGCTGGTAAGTTGTGGCCCACCCTCATTACTATATTTTACTGCCACCCCTTAGTTACTTTTTTTCTCATCCCTCATACTCTCCCCGTGAAGTGTACCTTACATTTAGAGTTTAACTGTCACCTATAATCAGATATACACAAAAGAGTAAAAATCCACATGGAAGTGCACACAGAAATACACACACCTTCTAAGGGTGGCTTAGGTGTTCCTCCTTGGTATTTCCAAAGCATTCAATGATTACTCCCATCAAAGCACTTATCACCTTGTTTTTAATTTCCTTATTACTTATTTCCCCTGTAAGGTTGTAGAATCATTTAACACAGGGACGTTCTTGTTCATTTTTGTAGGTGTTCAATAACGAAGTTATTGAAATTCCAAGTTATTCTATAGTGTAGCAGAATACTCTTACCATATATACACGTTGCTCATCTAGCATTCTGACACTTATTTTTTCACTAGACTTCTAAATAGAAGCATTATGTGAACAGTTCTTGGAAGTGTGTATTTGGGACCTTCCAGCTGGGGATATTTTTTTGAGGGTAGAGTGAAAGCTCTAAGTGACATGATATGATTCTTTCTTTCCTTAAAGAATATGAGGCTCTTTGGGCAAAACACTCAACTTGTATGTGAGTATCTCTGTCTGTATACATTTTAATGATAACAATAGCAGTCATTGGCAACTATTAATTGACTAATATGTTTAGGTCTTTTGCTAAGACCCTTCATGACATGGTCTCGGTTAACTTTAGCCTTAGAATATGTTTCTTAGCACAGTTTTCCAGAAGAGAAAAATCGAGGCTCAGAGAAGTCAGGCAACTTGACTAGGGTCACACAGCCAGGAACTGGCTGAGCTAACCATTCAGATCGAAGAACTTTGACTTTGGCATGTCAGTCTTAAGCTGGCACTTAAGACCCAAAGCTCTTGGGCTCAAGGTTACCTTTCACAGTCTGCTGAACACAGGGTAACACAAAGGCTCAGCCCCAGCCAGACTTCTGGCCGGCTCCCTGGGATGTGTTTATCCCCTAAATGACCTGCGTGGAGATTTCTGCCACCCGCCAGGTCCCCTCTCTCTGCTTGCAGAGGGTGGGCTCCCTAGCGAGGGGAAGGAAGCATGCAGACGTTGTAAGCTGACACCTTCCCCGGTCATTCCCATGACTTATGAGCGCACATCACATGCACAGTTGCCTAACACTCTCTCGCGTGACACTCATTTTCCTCGGGTCCCAGCTGCCCGCGAGTCCTGAAAGCAGGCTGGGGCCAGCTCCGGGGTCAGCCGAACAAACAGATGGAGATGAGCAGAGGTGACACCCGATCGCTCCTCGGCATCTGCTGGGCCTGCCGCGGCTGCTCTAGCTGGCCGATGCCTTGACCCAGCTAATCCCTTCGGTCGTCCTGGTGCCGGCTGTGTTGTGTCACTCATCCCCACCCTTACTTAGGGTGGCTTCTGCTTGCAGGGGCTTTCCTTTGGAAAGCCAGGCGGATAGGGCTCTGCTGCTTGCTTTTGCATTTTGGCCTCGGGTCAGCCTTCTGCAGACAAGGACTAACGGAGTATCCCAGGTACCAGGTTCTAGGTGGGGTATAGACAGCATCAGTCTACCAGCAGGTACTTCCGTTCTTAGCATTTGTCATCTGACACCAACAATGCTCATGTCTGCTATGGCTAGCTAAGTTTTTTATTTATTTGGTTTTTTTGAGACAGAGTCTCACTCTGTTGTCCAGGCTAGAGTGACTGCCGTGGCGTCAGCCTAGCTCACAGCAACCTCAAACTCCTGGGCTCAAGCGATCCTCCTGCCTCAGCCTCCCGAGTAGCTGGGACTACAGACACGTGCCACCATGCCCAGCTAATTTTTTCTATATATATATTAGTTGGCCAATTAATTTCTTTCTATTTATAGTAGAGACAGAGTCTTGCTCAGGCTGGTTTTGAACTCCTGACCTCAAGCAATCTATCCGCCTCAGTTTCCCAGAGTGCTAGGATTACAGGCGTGAGGCACCACGTCCGACTGTAGCTAAGTGTTTTGTTTTGTTTTGATTTATTTATTTATTTAGAGACAGAGTCTCACTTTGTTGCCCAGGCTAGAGTGAGTGCCGTGGCGTCAGCCTCGCTCACAGCAACCTCCAACTCCTGGGCTCAAGCGATTCCTCTGCTTCAGCCTCCCGAGTAGCTGGGACTACAGGCATGCGCCACCATGCCGGCTAATTTTTTCTATATATATTAGTTGGCCAATTAATTTCTTTCTATTTATGGTGGAGACGGGGTCTTGCTCTCGCTCAGGCTGGTTTCAAACTCCTGACCTCGAGCAATCCTCCCGCCTCGGCCTCCCAGACTGCTAGGATGACAGGCGTGAGCCACCGCGCCCGGCTGTAGTTAAGTGTTTTAGAATAGCATGCTAAACGAATAAAGGACACAGGCTTATTTAGGGGTGGTTCTTTGGGTCCATGGCCACAGATGTCATCCATACATCTACCTCTGTAATAGTTGAGCACCTATTATAGGCCAATCAACCTTATCAGTGGCATTGCCAAATCAGTAATGACAACCCCGATTTTATTAGTGCCACTGTGGAATATACAATCCACTGGAGGAGGTTGAAAAACACACCAGCTAAAAACAGATCAATGTACAGCTTGAACAAAGCTATAAATGAGAAGAGGGTTGCGGGGAGTGCTATGTGAAGACTCAGAAGCAGGCAAAGCTTGGCTCCTCCTAAGAACTGAAAGGCAGCCAGTGGGGCCAGAGTGTCGTGGATGGTGGGGACAAGGTATGAGGCTGGGAAGGCCAGGCAGGCACAGGTTTGCTGGGGGAACACACTGAAGGGTTTCAAGCAGGGAAATGACATAATCGGAGTAATATTTTAAAATAACTTGTCTTCTCGTAGCATGGAGAATATTCTGGAATATTCTAGACAGAGCTGGAGTGGAAGAAGGTAAGGGGCTGTCACAACATCTCAGGCAAACTGAAATGCCTGGAAGAGCAATGGAGCAAGTCAGTGATCTCTCAAAATTATTCTTTCTGGTCACATGGGGACAAAATGACGATAGCTGATGGGCCGGGTGACTCGGCTTCTCCATTGTAAGTTTAAAAGTTCTAAGAAAGAATCTATTTGGAAATTACACTTCTAATAACGTATTAAGTAGAAGAAACCGAACAACTGAACAGATTTTCTGCAAGAAAGTACGTTCTGATGCTGTTTATAACAGCAAAAAATTTCACTCTGAATATCCCCAAATCTCTAACCTACGAACCCATTTAACCTATCATAATTCACTATATAATGCTATTCTATGAAACAATACTCAAAGATATAAAATAAATCCATTTGTGGATATAGACATATATTCCTAATGTAGAAAGTGAGTGAATAAAGCATGCTTATGATCGTTATAGACAATATGGGATGCCATTTTTGGGTTACATCTGTAGGGAAAAACAACTCTCAAACAACACACAATGAAAATATTAACAATGGTGGACACCAGGTGCTAGAAATTATGGGCAATTATGAATCTTTTTTTTTGTGTTTTTGTTTTTTCTTTTTTTTCTCCTATATGCGTGTTTCTTTGTTTGTTTTTTTTTAGTTAGTTTATTTATCATTCCTTCTTTGTATGTAGTTGGTTGGTTGTGATTGGTCTGTCTTGCGTGCTACGTATGTTTTTTTTTTTTTTTGTTAACCAATTTGGTTTCTTCCTTGGGCTTTGTTTCTTTTTTCTTTTGTCTTTTTTTCCTTTCTCCTTATTTATAATCTTCACGTACTTCCTTCTAGAATATCTTTCTCACTCTCCTTTCCTTGTGTCTACATTCACTCTTCCAGAAGTAGGGTGGCCACATAATTTCAAAAATGCACAGTAGGGCATTTTTGAGTATGAAAGGAGCCAAATACAATACCAGGACAACAGTTATAAACTCTTGGTTGCAGCCAAATCAGCACATTTGGTCAACCGTTGTAACGCCTTGCTCAGCTTTCAACTCTTCTATGATATTCTCTTTGCCATTTTGAACACTAATCATTCTTATACTTCAGCTATTGGCAACAGTGACAAACATACCTTCAGTTACAGGTTCTTTTCAGATGCCAAACTCAGTGGTGGCAGATAACGTGTTGTCTACCGACCCTCCCTCACTTTAATGCCAGCACAAGGCCTCTTGTCTAATAAATGCTCAATAGATGTTGTCTTTATTTAGCAGTAAAATTGTTGCATCATTCCAGGCAAATGAAAAAAATATATATAATTTACTCAGGTCAGAAACAGAGTTAGAGCAAGCCCCCGGGGAAGGTGCGGCGAGCAGAAACATGGCCAAATGAAATCAGGTTTCCAGTTTACCAAGAGTCAGCCAGCCCTATGGATCTCCGCTAACCCAAACTGGGGAAATTGGGAACAAATGCGTTTGGAACCTCACGTGCTTGGGGGCGGGTGGAGGCGGCCGATCCAGGCTTGCAGGCCACATGGCAGTTTTGAGATTTTCATACACGAGACTTGGGAGTGAAAGTCAGATGTGATTAAAAATACACGTCTTACAGATGTCTGGATGCTGTTCAAATCCCCAGAAGTGTGATCGAAAATGCAGTTGCTTTCCAGATTTTTAGGGTGGAAAAAAAGGCCATTGTGGCGCCTTTGTCTCTTTTATTGAATGGGTATGTTCAAGTGACCCTTTAAATTTGTAGTGTTATCTCAGCTGCCTGTTTACTTTTTTTAGTGGTGCTGCTCACTGCCCTGAAACTGAAAATACAGTAATTGGAGGAACATGTGACGTTTCCCAGGAGACAAAAGTCCCTATTATTTTTAGCATATGCTAAGCAAGCCCAGGTAAGTGCAACACTCATAAAAACATAATTTATGAAAATCAAAAAAAAATATGAAATCCTTGATAATGCCTCCCCAATACCAAAATAGAACCATATTATCTTTTAACATTTTCCTATATCCTCATTTCTTAAAAGAGAATTTTCATTTTATTATTATTATTATTTTTTAATAATCACTCTCTAACCATATTCGGCCATCTGGCTTTGTTTATAATAGCCTGTTTACTTATCATCAACTTAAACACATGATCTGAACATTTGGCTCCCACCACCCCAACTTATTTGCTTTCAGGGTTCATTTTAGCTTGAACTTGAAGTCAGCATCTTTTTCTCTGGAGCTGAAAGGAGTTGCAGAGACCCCAGAGGTGTTTCCTTGCAACTGACTTGAAAGGTATGGTTGAAATAAGAATTCACACCTCCTATCCTCACACTCCTCCCAGAAAAGAAAAGAAAATTTGTCTCTGTAACACAGAGAACAAAATGGGAAAGAAAGGCACTTTGTTTTGCCAAAGACAGGCTATCAATTTTCATAAATCTGCATTCCCAAGACAACTGCCCACTAGACGTCTATTAAGAGGTCTATTTCTTTGAACTTACATACCAGAAAGTATTTTTTTCCCCTTGTCTCAGAAAGCTGAGGAATATAGTCAATAATAGCAGAATATATTAATTAATGTAAGAGATAATTTTTAAAATTTCAATAATTCTATTTCATAAGGATGGGGGTAGTAGGGGTGAGAAAAGGGTACAGAACTAAACAGAGAAACCCTAAACCCAACTTATGCAAATACACTTTCTGGTTAGCCAGAGAACACTCTTTGCAACCATAAAAATTAAGTGGGTGTGGGTGTGGGTGTCTATATTTATGCATATATATGCCAGTTGCTAATTATAAGATGGATGTTTACACGTATTACTTGAACAGTGAGAATCTGGCAAATCTGAAACAATACTGACCATCTGTGCTTAAAGAGTATTTTATATATACCAATTTATGTCTGCCAAAAAAAAAAATAAAAAATAAAAGAGTATTTTATATCAAAAAGCCAAATATTACCAAAATGTACTGGTTTTTCAAGTCTTACAACCTCTCCATTTGTTCTTTTCCTTCTTCTCCAGTTCTGACCACTGATCAACTAACATTCTTGGACAAATAAAACCTGAGCAATACATATGTACCAACACCAAGCATGTGTATACACAGAATACATAGTATCTGTCGACCTTAATCCTTTTCCCAGCGAAGTTTTATAGCTGGGTCTTTGAGACAGACAGGGCTCAAGTTACTAAAACTGCCTAATACACATCCAGTTAATTGTATAATGAGATCCCATGAATCACTAAGCATAGATCAGTTGAAACAACACAGTGAAAGAGGCCACAAATTGGCTCTTTTGCGGTTGATGGTTGTTTCTGTATATTCATAGTATCAGAGAGTGTCACGGTTGTATCTGTAGAGTCATCTAGACCAGGGCTTCCTACCTGGCTAACAGATATTTAGATTTCCTGGCCTCTACCCTAGAGATTTTGATTCAGCAGGATGGGATATTCCTGGGTGGGGGTTGGGGGTGGGGGTTCATTTTTCACAGGTGCCTCAGCTAAATCTTGTGATGGGACAATGTGGAAACCACCACCATGGCCCTGTGCTGCCCAGAGTGCAGTCCCTGAATCAGGAGGAACATTAGTATCACCTGGAAGCAGGTTAGAAACAGGCCCCACCCAAGGTCTACCAGTTGGATCTGCAGTTTAACAAGATCCAGGTGATTCATGTGCCTGGCATGGTGTGAGAAGTGCCACTCTAGAGTGGCCTAGTGTGAACTAACATTGCCTTTGCTATAAATAATGGGATTCCATTTATATAGCCCACAACTCTATTTTATTGAACTTTTCTTGGCAGCTAAATATATCTTATTAATTCATGTTTTGAATCTCATTTCAGGAATCGTGATTTCATGATGACGAACCTATTGGTTGAAGCAATTAGTCAAATAGGTGGTTAATCTTAAGGGGAAAAAAAATGCACACTCATGAAACCCCAAACCATAAGCCAGGCCAATTATTTTTTTGTAGCACTGACCAAAATACCTACTTATGTGATTGAATTGTTCCTCTTGTAAAGCCTTGTGGTGGTGGGAAGCCACTATTGATTGTTGGTTGACTTAACAGCAGGACATGCTCATTTAAGTTATGGTGTGTTGGTTAAAGCCTTGGTTTGAGTCCTGGTTCTTCCTCTTACAACTGCATGTTCTTGGGCAAATTTTTTTTTTTTTTCTGCTTGAGCCTCAGTTTTCCCATGTGTTAAACAGGAACAATAACAGGCCCTGACCCAGTGCTTGGCATATCATCTCACATGATAAAGATGAGTTTTTATCGTTGGGATGGCTTGAGGGAGTTGTTTTTGGTTGTGTTTGGTTTTGAGATGTAATTCATATACCATAGAATTCAGCCTTTTACAGTGTGTAGGGAATAGTCCGGGCTTGAGGATGATTTTGGTGGATTCTTGGGATTGTCTTGGTGGTTTAATGGCCAGGAGCCTTTGCCAATGGGCACTGTCTGTGTAAATATAAGCGAATTCAGAAGCCTTGGGTGGATTTCATTTCATTTCATACGGTTCCTGGTATTATTCAGACATATATAGTTTTCTTAGAATGAGTTCTCTCTGCTTGAGCTCTGAAGCTACTTCTCATATACCTGTGATTCTAATTAATATTTATGATCCAGCTTGCAAGATCCACAGGACTTTTGAATGACATGGGTAGTCTCTGGAAACCAGAGTTACTGAACAAGGCTTGCCCAAGGGGAATTGGAAATAATGTCGGGAGGCTTGCCTCAAACCCAACATTTGAATTCAGTGATTTAAGATTAAAATGAATTTTCAGAACAGGGGATGTAAAAGTTACCAAAGAAAAACCGCCTAGCCTGGAGTTTTGCAGTGGGGGAAAAGGGGCAATGGTGGTTTCCTTGGTGACCACTTGCCTGAGCATGTGACTCTCATATCCTGTTTAGCTTCATACCATCTCTCGCCTTCCCCTGCCCCTCTCAGAGCCACTGCCCACTGCCTGCTTCTCTTATTGAGAAAAATCCCAGGGGTATTAGTCCAAGAGCTGTTATGCTAATTATGTACAAGCTGATTCAAAGAAAATATTTGGGGTTTCAAAATTATTTTCCTCCAGTAACTTTCATGAGTAATAAAAGATATATAATTGATAATAGTAACACTTTTTTATTAAACAAATTGGTAATTTTTTTGGTGACCATATTGAATTTTGAGTAAGTTGCCATCAAACATTTACTCTTAAACACTGCTGATGACAATGTAAATAAATCTGATGTTACAGATTGAGAATCTTCCAAAGTTTATATATTTTTAAATGGTATATTTGAGCTAGCAATCTAAGTTGTATAATAAAAAATAAGCAAAATTTAACTTGTATTAGTAAGTTTTCTTTCCCCACAGTTAAGGTTTGCAACTTGAAACAATAACTTTCTGTAATAAACTTGGATTGAGCAAGTAAGTACAGAGACTATGATAATAAGCCATGTTTTCAGTTGTGGTAAGGAATACAAATATAAAAGGAAAACCGAATGTGTGCTATTGAATTAGAATGGTAGTCCATTTTTTAATAGAAAAGAATGGAATAATTATAGACATGGATACAATGAGAACACATTGACATATGAATGTATCTTGTGTTGGTTGTGTGTGTGTTGGTGGTATATTCTGTCTATAGTCTACTGTGTTTGTCGGGAGGTCTAGGACTATAATACCCTAGTATCCACCAAACACACCTGCTTTGATTCAAAATACATTTCCCCATAATAGAAACTGAATCCTGATAAATGGCCAATTCCAGGAGAGAGGCAACAAAATAAAACAAGAACAAAACAACATAAGCCTGGAAATTCATGTTAGGGCTCCAGAAAGTTGGATGCCAAAGAATACAGGACATTCAAAAACTTCCCCAAGCTGAAGCTGCCGTTTCCAAACTTGGATAATTTGAGCATCAAAAAGTGATAAACACATTATGACCTAAGTTCCCTTAAATAAAATAAGGAACCAAAGTCACATAGATATAAATAAATTAAGTGGAAAAGTTTCGCCTTATAGGAGAACTATCTAATAAAGCAGAGGATAGCATGGAATCAGAAAAACACGATTTGCAAGCAGCGTAATAACAATTAATCAGCTAGACAGCAATACATACTAAACATAGTATCTAAATTGTGATGGAAATCTCTTAAAGAGCAAAAAAATACGAAATATTTTAGATTTCAAATTGTCACAATAACATATTCTAATAGAAAAAAAACACTTTTCTGTTTTTAACTTCTAATTTGAGATTCTCCTTAAATTGAACAACGGGCTTTTTTTTTGCATCGTCCTTACTCAACGTGGACATTAGAGACCTCCGATTTATAACCAATACACGCAAATTATAAATTGGCAACTTGTCAACGACTGGTGGTTTCATTTTTTACGCATATATAAGGAATGATTACACTTAAATTAGCATGCACATTTCTTCTATTCGACTGGCCTTCCCTTCCCTAAATAACACTCCACAGGGATAGAGGGGCAACCACAAATTGGCAAGAAGCTTTCTGTAGACGGAACCTTCACCTGGTTGGTGGCATGAATTCTATTTCATTTAAAAAGCTTATAAATGCAAATGTTGCAAAGTGAAGAACTGACTGGAGATCACAGGAATATTTAAAAGTTCTAGCTTCGGTAGGTGTATTTTTTTTAAATATAAAAATACCATGTTATAGAGTACTAAGAATATTCATTTTAATTCAAAACTCCAAAATGTGGTGCGAAGGACATTGGGGCACTGTTTTGATGGGTAAAGAGCCTTTTCTTTGAAACCAGACACACATGGTACCTCCTTGAAATTTCTTCTTATGGCTGTGGTTGAGCAGGAACCATAGAAATTTTGAAAAAAAAAAACAAACAAAAAAAACAGAGATTGTGCAGAATGTCCCATCTTACTGAAAGAAGACACCAGGAGAGGAATTCACAAGGGAACGTGTGTTTAGACAAAATCACAATGCCTTGAGGTTGGGATACCAAAACCAAGTTGGTACATGGAAACCGAGACAGTCATGAACTACATAAAGACATTTTGGTCAATGATGGGTCGCATGTATGATGGGTGATCCCATAAAATTGTATACGTATTTTACTGTACCTTCCTATGTTTAGACACGTTCAGATGTACAGATACTTTTCATTATGTTACAGTTGCCTACAGTGTTCAGTACAGTCACACGCCGTACAGGTTTGTAGACTAGGAGCCATAAGCACACAAATAAGGCCACGGTGTCAGTGGGCTATCCTCTTTGGCCCTAAGTACAATCTATGATGTTCGCACAACAATGAAATCGCCTAACAATGCATTTTTCAGAATGTGTCCCTGTCACCGAGTGATGCGTGATTGCAACAACAACAATGAGCATTTATTGAGTACCTACTGTTTGCTCAGTGCTCTGCCTGCCTCTTCCCCTTTACCAGCTAGCTTCTAAACTGGGAAGCCTGGAAAAGCTAAACAATACAAAGCATCTTGCAGTGATTCAGTATTGCCCTCTGTGCTCAGCACCCAAATGGCTCAAAGGAGACAGCCTGGCTGGTTTGTTTGTGAGAGACAGGAGTGGATTTCGTGCGAGAAATCCCGGAAGTGGGGCTTCAGGTAATCTGGAGGGCTTGGCAAAGGGAGCCGTGAGGCAGTGTTTCCATTAGGGATGATTGGAAAAGAAAGAGGGCTGGCTGTCGGACTGCCAAGAAGAGCATGACTCACCAATGGGAGATTTGTTATCTGAGCTTCTAAGTCCCTCCTTGAAAGGTGATAGTTTTCCCGGGGTGGATCTGGACTCAGGAACTCAGGATGAATAAGATGTGAGAACCTGGATGGGTTCCATCCCGAGGGTGGGTGATAGCAGACCAAACTCTGCCGCCGGCACCTCAGAAGCAAGCTATTGTGTTTTCCTGCCGGACCGTATTGCTGGACGGACGGACCTGATCCGCAATGGGAGGCGCAAGGGGCCAACCACTGCAAACCAGCAGATCTCCTCCCCTGAGCCTTTACTCATCCCTGGAGTTTGCTCTTTTTTCCTGCTCTTCTTCCTCCACCCTTTTTTTCCCCACCCCCCCATGTCGAAATCCTGCTTAACTTTAAAGGTCAACCCACAAATGCCACCTTCTCTGAGGAATCTTCCTTGATCCTCTTAAGTTGGATTTCATAGCACTGTGTTTATTCTTCTTGCTGTCAAATCATGCCTGGGGTTGGCAGAGCATGCCTTCTGCTGTAGCAATCCGTATAGATATCAGTCTTCTCTGCTATTGTGCACGCTCTTTGAGGGCAGGCACCAAATTCTGTCTTGTTGACTCAGGGCATTGCCCAAATGAAAAGTCAGTTGGCACGCAGGCGAATAACAATGACTTCAAGCTAGAGTACAGTCATACATACTAAACCATAGATGTCCTAAATGTTGATGGAAACTTTCTTAAGAGCAGAAAAAGTATCATATGTGTGTGGATTTTCAAATTTGTCCACAATTACATATTTCTATGAGAAAAACACTTTGTTTCTTGTTTTTTAGACCTTCCTAATTTGAGATTCTCCTTAAATTGAACAAGGCTAGGTTTTCAATAATATGATTGTTGGGCAAAAAATAGAAAAACTATTTCAAGTGCAACATTACTTCAAGTGTTGACATTTAGAGAACCTTCGATTTCTAACACAATTAGCACGCTAATATTAAATTGCAACTTGTCAACCTTGGTGGTTTCATTTTTTACTGCATATATTTCAAGGTAATTTGATACACTATAAACTTCCTAGCATGCACACATTTCTTCTATTTCAGACTGGCCTTTCCTCTAATAAACACAGTCCAAAGGATAGGAGGTGGCAACCAGCAAACTGGCAGATGCTTTCTGTAAGGGACGGAAGACTTCACCACTGGGTTGGTGGCAGTGATTTCTTTTTCATTTTAAAAAGCTTATAAAATGTTGGCAAAGGAAGAACTTGACTGGAGATCACAGGGATATTTTAAAGAGTTTCTAGTCTTGGTAGTTGTATTTTTTTTTAAAATATAAAAATCTCCATAGTTATAGAAATGACTAGAGAAGATTCATTTTAATTTCAAACCTCAAAAATGGTGGTGGCGAAGACATTGGGCACTGTTTTGATGGTAAAGCGCCTTTTCTTGAAACCAGACACACATGGTACTCCTTGATGATTTTCTTTGCTGTGGTTGATGCAGAACCATGAAATTTCGAAAAAAAAAACAAACAAAAAAAAGAGATTGTGCGGAATGTCCATCTTACGAAAGAAGACACCAGGAGAGAATTCACAAGGGAACGTGTTTAAGCAAAATCACAAATGCCTTGAGGTTGGGATTTACCAAAACCAAGTTGGTACATGGAAACCGAGACAGTCATGAACTACATAAAGACATTTTGGTCAATGATGGGTCGCATGTATGATGGTGATCCCGTAAAATTGTAATACTGTATTTTTACTGTACCTTTTCTATGTTTAGACACGTTCAGATGTACAGAACTTTCATTATGTTACAGTTGCCTACAGTGTTCAGTACAGTCCACCCGTACAGTTTGTAGACAGGAGCATAAAGCTAACACTCGATAACGCCTGAAGTGTGCCAGTGCTAGCCTGGAGTTTTGCAGTGGGGGAAAAGGGGCAATGGTGGTTTCCTTGGTGACCACTTGCCTGAGCATGTGACTCTCATATCCTGTTTAGCTTCATACCATCTCTCGCCTTCCCCTTCCCCTCTCAGAGCCACTGCCCACTGCCTGCTTCTCTTATTGAGAAAAATCCCAGGGGTATTAGTCCAAGAGCTGTTATGCTAATTATGTACAAGCTGATTCAAAGAAAATATTTGGGGTTTCAAAATTATTTTCCTCCAGTAACTTTCATGAGTAATAAAAGATATATAATTGATAATAGTAACACTTTTTTATTAAACAAATTGGTAATTTTTTTGGTGACCATATTGAATTTTGAGTAAGTTGCCATCAAACATTTACTCTTAAACACTGCTGATGACAATGTAAATAAATCTGATGTTACAGATTGAGAATCTTCCAAAGTTTATATATTTTTAAATGGTATATTTGAGCTAGCAATCCTAAGGTTGAATATAAAAAAAAATAAGCAAATATTTAACTTTATTTAGGTTGAATATAAAAAAATAAGCAAATATTTAACTTTATTTAGTAGGTTTTCTTTTCCCCCCCGTTATAGGTTTGCAACTTTGAAACTACTTTCTGTATAAACTTGGATTGAGCAAGTAAGTACAGAGACTATGGATAGTAGTAGCCATGTTTTAGATTGTTTGAGTAAGGGAATTACAAATATAGAAAGGGAAGAAACTGAAATGTTGTGCTGTTGAATTAGAATTGGTGGTCTTCATGGTTTTTAATAGATTTAGATATGGAGATAATTATAGACATGGATACAAATAGAGACATACACATGTGGACATATGAATGTAGATCTGTGTGTGTGTGTGTGTGTGTATGTGTGTGTCTATAGTCTAACTGTGTTGTCTGGGAGGGTCTAGGAGCTATAATACCCTAGTATCCACAAACACACCTGTCTTGATTTCAAAATACCATTTCCCCATAAAAGAAACTGTATCCTTGGAGAAATGGCTGATTCCAGGAGAGAGGCAACAAAATAAAAACAAGAACAAAATACAATGTAAGCCTGGAATTTCATGTTAGGCCTGAAAGTTGGATGTGCTCAAAGAATTACAGGGACATGTCAAAAGGATACTTCCCCAACTTGAAGGGCTGCCCGTTTTCCAAATTTGGGATAATTTGAGCATCAAAATAGTGATAACACATTATGACCTTTAATGTTCCTTAAATAAAATAAGGAACCAAGAGTCCACATGAATATAAATAAATTAAGGGGAAAAAGTTTCTCCTTATTAGGAGAATGCTATCTAATAAATGCAGAGGGAATGATGGAATCAGAAAATCACGATTTGGCAAGCAGCGTAATAACAATTAATTCAAGCTAGAGTACAGTCAATACATACTAAACATAGTATCTAATATGTTGATGGAAACTTTCTTTAAAGAGCAGAAAAAGTATCTAAATATGTGTTTAGATTTTCAAATTTGTCCACAATTAACATATTTCTAATGAGAAAGAAAAACACTTTGGTTCTTGTTTTTTAGACCTTCTAATTTGAGATTCTCCTTAAATTGAACAAGGGCTAGGTTTTCAAATAAAATGATTTGTTGGGCAAAAAATAGAAAAACTATTTCAAGTGCAACATTACTTCAAGTGTTGGACACTTTAGAGACCTCGATTTCTAACCAATTAGCACGCTAATTATAAATTGCAACTTGTCAACACTTTGGTGGTTTCATTTTTTTACTGCATATATTTCAAGGTAATTTGATTACACTTAAACTTCCTAGCACGCACATTTCTTCTATTTCAGACTGGCCTTTCCTCTAATAAACACAGTCCACAGGATAGGAGGTGGCAACCAGCAAACTGGCAGATGCTTTCTGTAAGGGACGGAAGACTTCACCATGGGGTTGGTGGCAGTGATTTCCTTTTCATTTTAAAAAGCTTATAAAATGTTGGCAAAGGAAGAACTTGACTGGAGATCACAGGAATATTTTAAAGAGTTTCTAGTCTTGGTAGTTGTATTTTTTTAATATAAAAATATCCATGGTTATAGAAATGACTAGAGAAGATTCATTTTTAATTTCAAACCTCAAAAATGGTGGTGGTGAAGGACATTGGGGCACTGTTTTGATGGGTAAGAGCCTTTTCTTTGAAACCAGACACACATGGTACTCCTTGAGATTTCTTCTTTGGCTGTGGTTGATGCAGGAACCATGAAATTTAAAAAAAAAACAAACAAAAAAAACAGAGATTGTGCAGAATGTCCCATCTTACTGAAAGAAGACACCAGGAGAGGAATTCACAAGGGGAACGTGTGTTAAGCAAAATCACAAATGCCTTGAGGTTGGGATTTACCAAAACCAAGTTGGTACATGGAAACCGAGACAGTCATGAACTACATAAAGACATTTTGGTCAATGATGGGTCGCATGTATGATGGTGATCCCGTAAAATTGTAATACTGTATTTTTACTGTACCTTTTCTATGTTTAGACACGTTCAGATGTACAGATACTTTTCATTATGTTACAGTTGCCTACAGTGTTCAGTACAGTCACATGCCGTACAGGTTTGTAGACTAGGAGCCATAAGCTACACCATACTGCCTAGGTGTGCAGTGGGCTATCCTCTTTGGCCCTAAGTACAATCTATGATGTTCGCACAACAATGAAATCGCCTAACAATGCATTTTTCGAATGTGTCCCTGTCATTGAGTGATGTGTGATTGCAACAACAACAATGAGCATTTATTGAGTACCTACTGTTTGCTCAGTGCTCTGCCTGCCTCATTCCCTTTACCAGCTAGCTTCTAAACTGGGAAGCCTGGAAAAGCTAAACAATACAAAGCATCTTGCAGTGATTCAGCATTACCCTCTGTGCTCAGCACCAAATGGCTCAAAGGAGACAGCCTGGCTGGTGTTTGTGAGAGACAGAGTGGATTTCGTGCGAAATCCCGGAAAGTGGGGCTTCAGGTAATCTGGAGGGCTTGGCAAAAGGAGCCGTGAGGCAGTGTTTCCATTAGGATGATTGGAAAGAAAGAGGCTGGGCTGTCGGACTGCCAAGAAGAGCATGACTCACCAATGGGAGATTTGTATCTGAGCTTCTAAGTCCCTCCTTGAAAGGTGATAGTTTTCCGGGGTGGATTTGGACTCAGGAACTCAGGATGAATAAGATGTGAGAACCTGGATGGGTTCCATCCGAGGTGGGTGATAGCAGACCAAACTCTGCCGCCGGCACCTCAGAAGCAAGCTATTGTTTTCCTGCCGGACCGTATTGCCGGACGGACAGACCTGATCCGCAATGGGAGGCGCAAGGGCCAACCACTGCAAACAGCAGATCTCCTCCCCTGAGCCTTTACTCATCCCTGGAGTTTGCCCTTTTTCCTGCTCTTCTCCTCCACCCTTTTTTCCCCCCCCCACATGTTCGAAATCCTGCTTAACTTTAAAGGTCAACCCACAAACCACCTTCTCTGAGGAATCTTCCTTGATCCTCTTAAGTGGATTTCATAGCACTGTGTTTATTCTTCTTGCTGTCAAATCATGCCTCGGGGTGGCAGAGCATGCCTTCTGCTGTAGCTATCCGTATAGATATCAGTCTTCTCTGCTATTGTGCACGCTCTTTGAGGGCAGGCACCAAATTCTGTCTTGTTGACTCAGGGCATTGCCCAAATGAAAAGTCAGTCGCCACGTGTGCAGTGGAATTGACGTGGTCCCTCTGTGTGCTATGCATGCATGCACTTATTGACGACTGTGGGTTGGGGGTCAATGGGTATGTTGGCAATGACAAACAGATCCAAGGCCACCAGAAAGAAAAGTCAGCTACAGCCTTTACTGTCTTTCCTCTAAAATGTATTCATGAACAGATCTTAAGTCACTTAAGGGCCAGTGGTTTATACCTGTAATCCCAGTGTTTTGGGAGGCCAAGCTGGGAGGATCACCTGAGGCCAGATGTTTGAGACAAGACTGAGCAACATAGTGAGACCCTATCTCTACAAAAAAAAAAAAAATTAAAATTAGCCAGGCATGATGGTGCATTTCCTATGATACCAGCCACTTGGGAGGCTGAGGTGGGAGGATTGCTTGAGCTCAGGAGTTCAAGACTGCAGTGAACTATGATCAGGCCCCTGCACTCCAGCCTGGGCAACAAAGCAAGACCCAGAAAGACGGAAATGCAGAAAATCTGGGGCCCACCCTAGACCTACTGAATCAGAATCTACATTTTAACAAGGTCTTCAAGCAATCTGCATACACATGGACAGTTTCAGAAATTCTCCTCTCTAAAGTGTTATATAATGAAAGGTGCAGTTGTTGTTCATAAGCTTCATAAGGTTCATCGGCTCAGTCCAGAGGACTCAGAATTAGAAGAGGTGCAGGAAGGTGGCTGGGAGGAGGCTGGCACCCTTGGGTCCTACCAGTGAGGAAACAGAGTTCCTCTTCTGTCGCATATAAGATGGTGGGTGAGCTCACCCCTCACATACGTGTTCTCTTGATGTCACCTCTTGCTTGGTGCTTTTTCCTGTCTCTTTCTCTTATCTGTCCTGTGTTCCTTTTTCCCAGAAACCATTGCCACGTGAGAACTAGGTGATATAAAATCCTGACTCTGTGTTAATGGGTGCTGAGGGGGTATGCCAGACATTTGGATTATGTTACACATCTTCCTAAGACAGGACTTTTACCCCAAAGGGTTAAGTAGATGGTGGGAAATTTGGAGTGTCAGGAGGATCCCAAGGGGCTCATTAGCTAACACCATATAGGTGATCACAGCTATCGATGACTATAACTCTGTGTATGTCCGAATGATGGAGCTATTGCTGGGACACTAGGGCCATGTTCATCTTTGAGCCATAAGATAGCTGAGAAGAGGCTAGGGGAACACTGGAAATTGTCATGAGAACTGCTATACATTAAGCACTTACTGTGTGCTGAGCACCATGATGGGCTTCTTACATGTGCTGTCCCATATAATCCATAGTTTGTAACTGTCGCTGTTTCACAAGCACAGAAGCTGAGGTTACGAAACTTGCTCAAGGTCACACACGTATTGTACACAGTGGAGCTGAGACAGGAAATCAGGTTGGATTGCTGGCAGAGCAATAATGATAAGAGAGCAAGCAACAGGGCTCTCTAAAAAAGTACCTGTGGACATCCAAGTTTTCATGCCATAAAGACATAATAAAATTCAGAGGGACTGGTTAGAATACAAAAAAGACTTTTCCTCTTCACAGTTTATTTCTGCATGTGGTACTATTTCATACAGGAAGTCACGACTTTGGGTAGTAACTAGAATATTCTTTAAATTTTATCCTCGGTTTTTGTACTTGAACAATACAACCAGAAAAGCTGACCACTTTCATCGTAACTTCATGTTGTTTTTCTGCTGAATGACAGCAGCTCTAATACGAAGACACAGTGGGGGTGAATTGAACTTGACTTGAAACAAAATTCTCACATGTTTATATGGACAGATGAAAACTTCTGTGTCCGTAAAAGTCTATCTTGAAGAGCAAATCGTATATTCTTCCTTTATATTTTTTAACAATAGATTCTAAAGGACAAATAATTTTTAAGAGATTTTTGAGCTTGCACAGTTAAGGATAAAATACCAATATATACGTCCTGAAAATTTTTTTAGGAAAATTGCAGTTTTGTGCTCTTGTCTAGGTATATGCCAATTTTTACCAGATGTGTGATAGGATAGTTTTAATTTCAGAAGACCAGGTCTGTGGAATGATATAATATTAATATATTTCACAACAGTCCCTGAATTTACTATTTTACTCCATGTCTGTTCTAGTAGTTACAATATTAGGGGCTGAAAGGCATGTGATGGTGTTCATCCTAGTCATTTGGGAACACATATGTTTAGCTGCAAACTAATAGGGGTCATTTAAATCAACGGCTGGGCCAAAACAACAGAAAACCTTTCTTGAAATATGTAATATTAGTGTATTGTATCTGTTCTAAGGATATCATAGAATTCTCCCCAGCTATATGCTATTATTTATTTATTTATTTATTTATTATGAGACAGAGTCTCACTCTGTTGCCCAGGCTAGAGTGAGTACCATGGTGTCAACCTAGCTCACAGCAACCTCAAACTCCTGGGCTCAAGCGATCCTCCTGCCTCAGCCTCCCGAGTAGCTGGGACTATAGGCATGCGCCACCATGCCCGGCTAATTTTTTTTGTATATATATTAGTTGCCAATTAATTTCCTTCTATTTATAGTAGAGACAGGGTCTTGCTCTTGCTCAGACTGATTTCAAACTCCTGACCTTGAGCAATCCACCCGTCTTGGCCTCCCAGAGTGCTAGGATTACAGGCGTGAGCCACCGTGCCTGGCCTAGCTATATGCTATTATGAAATAAAAGCAGGGAAGATTTAAATTAATAAGGAAAGCAGGAGTATTTCAAAGGTTTTGGGAGCATGGATTTAATGTCAGCCATGGTTTCAAGGGTAGCTTCCACCATTTTTGTGGGGATTTGAACAGGTTATTTACTCGTTTATAGTTTTTCCAATAAACAGGGACATAAACAGTATCTGTGTGCTGTGAGCTATTGGGAGAATTAGAGGAGATAATCCCTGCTGAGATTTTAAAATAGGACCTGGCATGTTGCAGTGGTTCAATAAGAGAACATTATGGTTATTGAAATTAATCAATGTTAGCTTTTACTGTTTACAAAAAGAAAAGGAATACTGATTTCGGTTTTATATGGGAGGTCTGAATGAAAATTGGGTTTAATTAGAATTGGAACTGTTGAAATTTGCTTTACAACTTGTCCATCTTCCTCTTGGTTTCTGTTCACTTGCCAAGAACTGTGGCTTCATGGCGGATCTTGTGACATTCTTAATTCTCAGAAGGCAACAGTTGGGACTTTTTAAGAAAATGGGGCCCTGGAAGATATATATTTATTTGTATTGGTGCCAGGCCTCTTAAGATGCCCTAAAATCCTGCCAAGAATTGAGTTTTTCAGA